CTCTAGCAGGTTGGCTAGCAAGTTGGCGTCCATCAGGTATTGTGGAGCAGAGGTTAAGGACTTAGGCTTCAGCATCAAGATCTGGATGTCTGCCAATAAGAGTTGCAGGAGCTTGGGTAAATTACTCAATCTCTCTGAGCCTCAGGTTCCTCATGTGTAAATCTGCACCTAATTTATTCATTTTTACTTTTCTGAAGATTATTTATTTATTTATTTATTTATTTGACAGAGAGAGGCATGGCAAGAGAAGGGAACACAAGCAGGGGGAGTGGGAGTGGGAGAAGCAGTCTTCCCGCTGAGCAGGGAGCCCGATGCGGGGCTCGATCCCAGGACCCTGGGATCCCAGGACGACCCTTCACCAAGCTGAAGGCAGAAGTTTAATGAGTGAGCCACCCAGACACCCTATGGCACCTAATTTAATAGAGTTGTGAGTTTTAAATGAAACAATTTGAGCATACTGCCAGGCATCCTGGGGGCATCCCCATGTTATATAACCTCAAAACTCTTGGGGTGTTGGGAATGGGTAGAAGGGTTCCTGGGGATGGTTTCATAGGATAGTCCTGAGCAATGGAGGAAGAGTGAAAGCAACCCTGGCATCTGGCATTGGGTCCTGACAGCAACCATGAGTCAGCCCCAGGTGTCGAGGGACCAGCAGTGTTCTCAGCACTGCTGGGCGTGTGCTATGGTCACTTGGCCATGATCCTCTTCAGTCATGCTGTCTGAATGTCATCCTTATAAATCTGGTCTGGTTTTTTTTCTTTTCTTCTTCAGAAAAACAGCCTCCACCATGTGATGTCATGGTCTAGCCTGGGTCAGGGAAGGAAGGGAGGAGGAGGTTGTGTGTATAGAGTTGGGTGAAACAGGATCTTTTTATTTCTGGAAGGGTCTATCTGGTCCTGGAAGAAACTATCCTTCTCTCCTCTTTCAACCCCATCTCCAAGACCCAGTAAGAAATCAGTATTTGGATATAGAGTGAGAAGTAGATGATAAATCATAATGCTTAAGACATGAAGCTTAGGGGTGCCTGGGTGGCTCAGTTGGTGAAGCATCTGCCTTCGGCTCTGGTTGTGACCTCAGGGTCATGGGCTTGAGCCCCACGGCAGGCTCCCTGCTCAGCGGGGAGCCTGCTTCTCCCTCTCCCTCTGCCTGCCGCTCCCCCTGCTTGTTCTTTCTTTTTCTCTCTCTCTCTGTCAAATAAATAAATAAAATCTTAGGAAAAAAGAAAAGGGCATGAAGCTTAGTTATCACCAAGCAGTCCTAAGTTCAAATCCTGACTGCCAATTACTACCTCTGAGACCTTGGGCACATTACTCCTGTTTCCCCATTTTACCCACCGGTAAGATAATTCTGATGTTATGGTAGTAAGGTTTTAAGAAATACTTGCAAAGCACTCAGCACATGTGTCAGAGAACACAATTACACATAGTAATTATTCAATAAATGGTAGCTACTATTAAGTCCCCGGCATTGATGAGGAATATGGCTTGATCATTTTCTCTGCTTTTTACCAACTTGAGAGCCAAAGTTTTCTCCAATAACCATTCTTGCCTCTGAGAGATGGCCAGTCTCCTCACACGGAGTGTGCCATCATTCTGGAGATGAGGAGGTGGAGAGAGATGGAGTTGTTGTGTCCCTACACCTTTGTCTTCCCTCCCTTAGCTAGCTGGCTCCCTGACTATAGCTCTTCTGGTCATCCCTGCTGCCTCCCTGCCCTCTAAAGAAATCTGTCTCCTCTCTCCAGCTTGGAAGGATCAGCCCCTCCCAGCCAGGACTTCTGGCTCCCTGGACCCTGACTCTCCCCCACATCCTCTCCTGTGCTCTGTTCTTTATTTTGCAAACAGCTGGGGAAGAGGCCAGCGTGTGTGAATGTTTCTACACCGTAGAGATGGTAATCCCAGGATGCTCTGCATGCAGTTTCATTGTGTAGGAGGCCCCCAGTGCTTTTTACTCCCCCCCCCGCCCCCCATGTTGTCCTGGATTTGTGTGTGAGTGTGTAGGGGGAAGGCTGAAGATTAGAAATGTCACTCCTAAGGTTCGAGTCACCTCTCCTCTTGCTTCAGGCAGGATGTTCCTTTGCCTTTAACAAGAAGGGAAATTTACATGGCAGTAGGATTCCCACGCAGAAGTCAATCTAGTTTGGGGCCAGAAATCTCAGGTCAATGTCCAGCTGGACCAAAAGTAGATCCCTTTCTTCCTGAGCACTAGGAGTGGGTGTGGGATAGGGACAGAGGACTAAGGAGGTGTGTAGGAAACAAAGAACAGTCTGCACTGGATATAAGACAAAGACTACAGGTAATACTATACTACAGGTAAAAGGAAAGAAGCACGTCTATATGTGCTATTGTGAAAAGAAGCCCAAGACATATTATTAAGAAAAAAAAGAAGTCACCGAACAATGGAGATATTAAATCCCATTTATGCTTTTTTAAGTCCAAAAAATGTAGGGAAGTGAGTGAGAAAAGAATGAGGGTATAAAGTTTTCTGTGTTTAATTAAATATTTTGCAATGAGTATATACTTGTGGATTACTTGCGATTAAAAAGTATACTCTTATAGCAAAAAGTATATATTTTAAGGCAGAAGTGGGCTTGGGAAGGGAAGGGAAGGGAAGGGGGCCCCCAGGGGTGGAAAACAGGACTTCCATAAAAGAACCAGCCTTTGTTCCTGATGAAGCCGTTCTCTGTCCCCTCGCTGCACAACATGGGACTATCTTCTATATGGCAACTTGGAAGAGGAAAGTGAGGTCTCTGGTCCTCTTTCAGCCCCAAAGGACCCTAATAGCAGACCCCCCAGTTACCAGGATGCCCCCAGGGGTCCATGAAACAGCCAAACAACCAACTGGTAAGCAAAAGGGGAAAGAGGAAAATCAGGGGGAGGGAGAATTCCCAGATTTTCCAACAGGAAGGTTTAGACTCCCAAGTTCAGCAATGACTACAACAAGCTCCCTTTAGGAGGCCTCCACATCATGTTGCAAACTTAACCCCAGCTCCAGGCTAAAGATAACACTTTCTACGGAGTCACCTATATATTACCTTTTGACTCTAATGTCACGTGAAATTGTTGAGCTCCACAGATGTGAAATGACCTGCCCAAGATGACACAGCAACACAGAGACAGAATCTGCCTTCAGAATCCTAACCAGTGCTTGTTTGTTTGATTTTTATCAATGATACCATACTGCCCTATTTAAAACCCAACGTTTGTTTTTGTCAACTTTCATCTTGACCCCAACCCCAGTCCTAATTCACAGTGGACTCAGGTGTTTCTGGCCCCAGCCCAGTGGAAATGGCTGGTTTTGTTTCTGTCCCTCCATGTTTCCGCCTCCCATCTCATCAACCAGAAATCTCCCTCCTGACCATGTTTCCTTCTTGAAAAGGGCAATCTTGGGTGGGAGGACACGAATGGATTTAGTCACTGGCCTAAAATGACTCCGAGGCTGTCTAGCTCTTTTCTGCACATTGCAGAAGATGACTATCACCAGGAGGGCTTTGGGGCTCATGCCAAGTGGGCCACCTCCTTTCTTCTTCCAGATGCCTTACTAAGGCAATCTCTTGACCCTAGTGATGGAGGAGGACTACAGGCTTTCAGTGACCATTATGCAAGAGCCTAAGACCCTGAGGTGAAGATTTGAAGAGAGATCACGAAGGATAATTTGTGGTGGGCAGAAATCAGTAAACTGGGACAAGAGCAGCAGCTGAGTCCAGGGGTCAGTGTCTGGGAGTAATTTAGCAAAGTTCAGTGCTGACAGCTGTGTCTGGAGCTGAGCATCAGGGCCAAACCAGCTCCTGGGCTGCTCGGCTGCTTCAAGCTAATGAAGCTCTGGCTTAGGACACAGAGACAGCTGTGGTGTAGCAGAAGTCAGGGCCCCTGGGGCCCCAGGCTCAGCCTGCTGCTTCCCAGCAGTGTGACCTTAGGCAAGTCCTTAAGAAAGAAGAAAAGGAAACATCCACTGAGTGAGTGCAATGCCCTTTCACATGTCATCCTCACTCCTGCTTATCGAGAAGGATAATGTCCCTATCTTACATGGGGAGAAACAGATTGTCAAGGTAACCAAAGTCATTCTGGGCTATCTGGTTGTGGAGCAGGAAGACAGAAGTGGGATTTAGAGCTTCTGAGCTCAAGTTCTGAGCTCTTTCCCCTGAGCTTTAGCTTTTTTTCCCCGTAAAATGGGAACAAAAATGTACCCACTTTGTGAATGAAGTCACCCATAGTAGGTTCTAAACCCTTCCCTTCTCACAACCGTGGCCTTGAAGAGCAGTGGCCACCTTCTTCCTGGGAATGGAGTAATCTTTAACTTTTGCCCCTCCCCCCAATCCAGTTTGTGGCCACTTTCTTAGGAGGAATGAAGTAATCTTACTTTTGCCCTTCCCCCCAACCAGGTTTGTGGATCCAGGTCCCACGAGGTGCCTGGAAGAGAGGGTATTTGGACTCTGGTTTCCCCTCTGCCCCTATCCCCAGGCCTTCTCCCGACTCTGGAGGGCTGGCTCCCTCATCTCCTCCTCCCCAGTTTTGGCAGGCGGGCTAACATCAGTGGGTGTTCCCAGGGAAGGGGAATTCTGAGCCCAGCTCCAGGCGCCCCTTCCCCCACGGCCCAGGGCAACCCCAACCCCCTGCCTTAGATACTGAGGCGTGGAGAGGCCCTCTGAACTCCCAGTCCCTTCCTTCTCCTCCAGGTCCGCGAGAGCAGGTCGCTAACCCCCTTCCTCGCCCCCGCAGCGAAGGAGAAAGGGCGATAGGGTCCCAGGAGCGGATGCTCGGAGACCCGGGCGAGTCCTGGGCGCCACACGGCTGAGCCCAGGAAATGCATCCCGGTTCTGGGGTTACGAGGGGAGCTGTCCAGCCCCGCAGGGTGAGCTAGAGGAGAGAGTGGGCCAACGTCGACCCCGCGGAGGGAGCGGCGGGCGCCAGGGCCGGGTGGGGCAGCGACTCCCCCTCCAGCCCGCCGGCCCCGGGAGTCGCCCCCGCCCCCCACGTGGCCGCAGCCGTCCCAGCCCCTGCGAGGAAGCGGCGCGGCTTCCTGGGGCTTGGGCCGGGGATATAGGCGCCCCCGCCCGGGCCCGGCTCAGCGCCACCGCCCCTCCTCGCCTGCTCGCCGCGCGATGGCCTCGGTCCGGGCTGAGCGCGCCGCCGGCGGCCCGCGGCTCCCTGCGACCCGCGCCCGGCGACCGGCTGCGCTCCGCTTCCTCCTCCTCCTGGGCGGTGAGCGCTGCGCCCCGGGGCCGGTGTGGGAGGCGCGGGAGGCCCGGAGGGGAGGGGGGCTGGACGGCCGAGACCGAAACGGGCCCTAGGGTGCGGGCGGGACAGCGCTGTCCTCAGACCGTCCCCGGCCCCACTTCGGTGAGGGCTCAGCGCGAGCTGCTTCCCTCTTGTAGGAACCTGGGATGCCGGGGCCCCGCGGAGAGGTCTTGGGAGGTCTGGGGCTGGGGAGGAGGAAGAGGATTTGGGGTGTAGATGTGAGTGGGAGAGAGCTAGTATCAGCCCTCTCTTCCAGTCACTGAGGCACCCCTTGGGGGCCTGGATTATTCCTTTTTCTCTTCTGAAAGTAGCCCTGACTTCCTAGGGTCTCAGATCCCTCCTCCAGACTCCACTGCTTAGATCCCCGCCATCCTATCTCCCTCTCCCATTTCTGTTCACAGCTGTCCTGAAGCCCCAGGAGTCCCTGGCTCAGGTTCCTCCCACTGAAAGCAGTTTGAAGACAAAAGGTGTGTATTCCACGGCTCTGGGAGGGTGGCCTAGGGCAACGAGAGGAGAGCCAGGTCGGAGGGGAGGGTCCCTTTCCCACAACCCCAATTAATAGGCAGCCCATTAAACCCCCCTTCTGTTCTCTCCGGGGGTTCCTTGTGGTCCTTCTCCCTCATCCCACATGACCCCCACCCAGCTCTGAGCTGGCTCACCTCACAGGTGGGTTAGAAGACCCCAGAAAAAGTGTGTGGATGTCCTCGTGGGGCTGGCACCTGGAAGGCATTAACATTTTTCTGAATTGAGACTCCTTGGAAAACTTTCTGAGACTCTCCTGGTGTTTGCCATGTTTGAAGACAGGAACAGTGGAAATACCTGGACCGGAGGGCTTGGAGGGAGGGGCAAGGGTGTGGTCAGTGTGAAGCAATCTGTGCCCACAGAGGACAAGATGGAGAACTATGAGAGGACTATCCAGTTTTGCTGGCAATCTTATAAGGAGCAGATGGACTCTATCCCCAAGGATTGGTGTGACTGGGCCATGATTAGCAGGTAGGGGCAGTGCCCGGCAGCTTGGGCCCGGGGTGGGGCCTGCTCCTTGTGGGTGGGCCTTGAGTGAGTGTGGGGCATTCCCCTCTCTGCGCCCAACCCATACTCACTCTAGTCTTCCCTTACCCCCAGGCCTTATAGCGACCTACAGTATTGCTTGGAGCATTTTGCAGAAGTATTTCACCTGGGCTTCCCCAATCCCCGAGCAGAAGAGATCATCTTTGAGACTCACCAGATCCACTTTGCCAACTGCTCCCTGGTGCAGCCCACCTTATCAGACCCCCCAGAGGATGTGCTCCTGGCCATGATCATAGCCCCAATCTGCCTCATCCCTTTCCTCGTCACCCTTGTGGTGTGGAGGAGTAAAGACAGTGAAGCCCAGGCCTAGGGTGGTATGAGCTTTATCTTCACAGCCATCTTAGCCTACTCCCTGCCACCACCAGGTCTCTGTTCCCCTCCCTGCCCTGCCTCTTTCTCTCACTCCCACGCCCACCACAGATCCTTGGACTGGTGGAAATGGAAACCAAGTGGTGTCACGGCATAAGTTCTGTAATCTTCAAAATAAAACTGTTTTTTTTGTACTGTCCCCTCCCCAGCCCAGAGTTTCTGCCATTCTCACAGCTCTGGGCCGCGGAACTGGAAGAATCTGGATAGCAGCACTGTTTTGTTCGCTTGCCGGCTCCCCCCACCTGAAGGCCACCCCCTCCACTGCTTCCTCCCAAGGCGGGGCCTTTCCTGTCCTCACCCAAAGCCAGCACCAGGAAACATACAGGAAAGAGACTCCCTTCCGGTCTGGACAGCAGCTGGGGAGGTGTGGGGGGAGGAGCAAGGGTGGAATCTCTGCTGTGACTCCTGCAAGAAGGAAGGGGGACCATCCAGGAGCTCCGAATTTTCCTCTTCTTCATGCCTCAGTTTACTCCCAGGGCCCGGGAATAGGAACTGTGATATGACCAAGAAGAGTCCATCCCTAAGGACCACAGGATTGAGGGCAAGGGCAGTGGGGACTTACTCTACTAAGTTCACCACAGGACTCCCCTTCCAGGTCCCTGGCCTCATCCTATGTTGTCCTGGACCCTGGGGGTGTGGCCTATAGCCTGGCAGCACACTGCCTCCTGGTGTCCACTAGAGCTAACAGCCAGGAGATGGACATGATCTGGAAGAAGCTCAAAGCTGAGGAGACTGGACCCTGGGATCAGACATCTGTCATCTCCATAGCACTCACTAGTTCTTAGCTGGAACTAAGTCAGCTCTCAGCTTCCTAAGCCATACTGATACTCCCTTAAGACAGCTTCCCACTTTCTAGGGACATACCTAGTCTCTGAACTCATTATTTCATATACCCTCTTACATGTTCCCCAGACGGTGAGGCCCAGTTGTTCGACAGAGGACCGTAACCTCCAGTTCTTCCAGATCATCAAAAATACAAGAGAACAACTTCGTTCTCCATAAACACACCTATTTATTCTTTATGTCACCTGGAGCCTCTTCAGGGACTTTTCCTACCCCTCCCCCCCCTTGCTGAAATATTTACCTCTCTGAGAACATGCATATCCATTTCCTGGGACATGCCCATCCATTCCATAGATATATACCTGTATGCTTCCTAGAATGTATCTATTCATCCTCTGAGACAGACTTCTCTTCTCAGGACATGCCTGTCTCTCTAGAGGCATATCTGTTTCCTGGGGCATTTTAAGTTTTCACCTGAGATAAGTCTTTCCTCTGTTTCCACGAATGCATTGGTCTTCCCCAGGGATATATCTGTTCACTTCTTGGCCCATATTTGCCCTCCTGTGTTTTACTAATATGCATCAAGGGCATGCTGGTATAAGATACTGTGTACAGTATATTTTGTTGGAAAAATAAGTTAGATAAGTCTTAGTTTCTGCTCTCAATGGCTTCTATCTAATAGGGGAGGTGACACATACACAAATAAACAAAAGCAATGGAGTGTGTGATGAGAGTCATGCAAGGGATACAAACCAAATGTTATCTAAGTGCAAAAAAATGAGGGGTCACATCTAGCTGAGGTGTGATCACAGGAGGGTGATTGTGGAATTAGTATATGACTAGACCTTAAGATGGAGTGCATTTCCCCTAGGGAAGAGAGTAAAAAAAAACAGGGGTGAATTAGGAAATTATTGTAATATTCCAGGCTTGAGAAAAAGAGGACATGGGCCAAAGGAGTGATGAATGAGGAAGTAGAAAATAAAAAGTAGGAGAGATGATTAAAAGCAAGGGAGGGAATCAGCAGGATTTGGAAATGAAGGAGAGGAGAGGTTAGGGCTGACTCAGGCTTTGAATCTGAGTTACTAGGGCAATGATGGAAGTAATGATAGAAAATGGCTATTAGGAAGAGGAGCTGGCAAGAAGAAAAGGATGTACAATATGAGCTGCCAGTAGAACAAGCTTTTATGTCCCACAGAGAGTTAGAAATGGGAGGGGTGGTGGTGGTGGTGGTGGAAATACAGATTTAGGAGTGTTTTGCACAGAAATGCCAAGTGAAGCCATGAAAAGGATGAAAGTTCTCAAGACAGAGGGTGTGTTGAAAAGAAAGCTGAGGTTAGAGTCTTAGGAAATACACACATTTAAAGAATGAGGGGGAAATGAGACAAAGAGAAAGATCAGAGAGACAGTGGCAGAACAAGCATAAAGCAGTGCCATGGAAGCAAAGGAGATAGTGCCCTTTGAAAGAACATTATCAATTGAATGGTTCATCCATTCATGCAACAGATATTTGCTGGGCACTTTGGTAGATCAGGCACTGTGCACAATGAAGGATGGACTTGAGTGGGGGAAAGGTTAAAGATCAGATAGGAAATTGAGAGGGTGACAAAGTCAAGGAAACTGTACATATTTTCAAATATGGGTGACCTGAGCATGTTTGTCAACTAGGGGAGAGGAGCCAGAGGAAAAAAAAAAGAGGGAAGATGATATACAAAGAAGTCCTAGAGGCAGTTGGAAAGGAGAGGTAAGGGCGCTGGGTGGCTCAGTTGGTTAAGCGACTGCCTTCAGCTCAGGTCATGATCCTGGAGTCCCGGATCGAGTCCCACATGGGGCTCCTTGCTCAGCAGGGAGTCTGCGTCTCCCTCTGACCCTCTTCCCTCTTGTGCTCTCTATCTCTCATTCTCTCTCTCTCAAATAAATAAATAAAATCTTAAAAAAAAAAAAAAGGAAAGGAGAGGTAAGAAGATATGCCAAAGGGTTGGTCTTGTAAAGGAAGAGGGACACTTCTTCCTTTGAGTCCAAAAGAAAGACGTAAGAGTGGAAAGGAATTCTTGTGGGAAGAATCAAGTGTGGTGACAGACAGAGGAGGAACGACCAGGAGCTTCAAATGCTTGGCCTCAAGTTCACAAAATAGGAAGGGCATTCTGCAGAGAGAAAGAAGATGGAGACAGGTGGAATGACTTGATGAATGGAAACATTTGAAGAGTTACCTGGAGGGATGTGACAGGGAGTCAATAAAAGACAGTGCTGGGCTGCACTGAGAGCCCAGCAGTGAGGTTAGTCGGAAACTGGGGCTCAGCCAGCATGTTCTGTGGTTTTCTTCCAGTGGTACAACTCGGCAGGAGTTGGGGGAGGGGTAGAGGAACAACAACCCTGGTTTGTTAAGTGACAGCAGGTAGGCAAGCAAGGGGACAGAATGGGGTAGTCTAGACTGGGTAAGGAGTCAAATAAGACCAAAATGGGTCTGGGGACTTGAGACTAGGAAAGTGAGGGCGTGAGAGATAGATGGCTGTGGTCAAAGCGGGCAGCTCTGAATCATGGAAGCCGAAACTTTTCCAGCGATAAAAGGTACAAATGTGCTCCTACGGGTGCCGCAGGAGACCAGGGAATGGTGCGGTCGAAGGACATAGCAATTGAAGAGACTGGGGAATTGTGAAGTGTTTGTTAAATGCAACTGACATGGATGTTAATATTAAAAGCAGCTGAGCAGAGGGGAAACAAGCCTAGGCAGTTCTACCAAACTGTGCCGCTTTGGAGAAGTCACTGCCCTTCTCTAGAGCTGAATGAGAAGACTTCTCGGGGGCTCTAAAAGGATTTTTAGGATAAGGGTAAGAGACTGGCTGATCAGCAGGATCCCTTCCGTTGGGCCGCCCCTCTCCGAAGAGGCGTCCGGAACCTTTCTGCTGTGCTTTTTGCCCGGACGTGCCGAAGCGGAGGCCGGAAGTCCTTTGCCCGGAGGTTCCGGGTTTCCTGGGCTACTACAATGGCGATGAGTTTCGAGTGGCCGTGGCAGTATCGCTTCCCGCCCTTCTTTACGTGAGGCTCAGACCCCGAGAAGCCCCGCTGTGCCTCCCTCCCCTGCCCCGGACCCCGGGCTCAGCCCTGATGCTTCAAATGGGGTGGGGGAGAAAGGACCCGATCGCCACCACCCTCAGTCCCCCACTTTGTCCCCCAGAAGCGCCTCCGGCAAGTGGTGCCTCTCGCTCTCTCACGCCCTCTAATTCTGCGCCCCACCCCCTTCACCCGGCAGGTTGCAGCCGAACGTGGACACTCGGCAGAAGCAGCTGGCCGCCTGGTGCTCGCTGGTCCTGTCCTTCTGCCGCCTGCACAAACAGTCCAGCATGACGGTGATGGAAGCTCAGGAGAGCCCGCTCTTCAACAACGTGAAGCTACAGCGTATCCTCCCTCAGGCTCTTCCACAGCCCACACACATGCACTTCCACGCTTTCCCACATGCCCAGACTTCACACCCCCCCTTCACCCACTGTAGGCAGATTCCCACCCAAACTGGACTTGGGAAAGAGCTAGTATGTGTTAGCTGACTTCCATTTTATCCCCAAACCCCAATGCAAATGCAGCACTCAAACCCTCTGTCCTAGCCAGTGACAAGTACCCAGGTGTCATTCAGGTGTTAGAATCTCTGCCCTGAAGCCAAGTCCCAAGCTTTTCAACCCAAGCCCTTTTGACTCTGAATCTCCTGTCCTCTTACTGAGTGAAGCTCAAACTCTGGTACTACCTTTAGTAATTTTCTCCACCTACTCTCTTCCTCCCAGGAAGTAAAGGTCATTGGTTTTTGCTGCCTGATTCATACCTAAAGTATCTGTGGAGAAAGTCTGAAGGAAGGAGAGAGGACAGAGGGTGACAGATGATAGTACTATTCATTTCTAAAGCTCTTCCCTTTTTTTTTTTTTTTTAAAGATTTTATTTATTTGACAGAGAGAGCACAAGCAGAAGGAGAGAGAGGGAGAAGCAGGCTCCCTGCTGAGCAAGGAGCCCGATGTGGGACTCGATCCCAGGACCCTGGGATCATGACCCGGGCTGAAGGCAGCCGCTTAACCGACTGAGCCACCCAGGCGTCCCTAAAGCTCTTCCCTTTAATTGGACTAGTTTTTTACCTTCCTCCCCCCGATATCCAGGAAATGCCAATTTATAGCCTGTTGGGGAATTGCACATATATGTATGTGGGAGGGAGAGGAAGGGGACAGATGGTTCTCAACATGACACTGGCCCTGAGAATTTTTATCCCACCCAACTCAGTCCATCAATGCCCTTCCCTTAACTTTAAACCAGGGAAACTCCCTGTGGAATCAATCCAGGTTGTATTAGAGGAACTAAGGAAGAAAGGTGGGTTCAGGTCCTCAGATTTCCTTATTTTTCCTCCTACTTGGGCCTTCCTGAGGGCAGATTGGCACAAGTATTTGCTTTTTTTTTTTTTTTTAAGATTTTAGTTTTTATTTTTTTAATTTTTTTGAAGATTTTTTATTTATTTGACAGAAACAAAGCGAGAGAAGGAACACAAGCAGGGGGAGTGGGAGAGGGAGAAGCAGGCTTCCCGCTGAGCAGGGAGCCCGATGTGGGGCTTGATCCCTGAAGCCTGGGATCATGACCTGAGCCGAAGGCAGCCGCTTAACGACTGAGCCACCCAGGCGCCCCTTTCAGATTTTATTTTTAATCTTTATAGCCTATGTGGGGCTCGAACCCACAACCTCAAGATCAAGAGTCACCCACTCCACCAGCTGTGCCAGCCAGGTGCCCCACAAGTATTCGCTTTTAACAACTTTTTTCTCTCCCTGGCTTGGAGCCCATAGTGTTCTGTACAGTAGATAGTCCAATTCCCCAGGTCCTTTTTCCCTATTGGTATTCACCACTGAAGTGTCTCCATCTGTGTTCTGAGACCTGGAGAGAGGTAGAAGGAGAATTGGTGCATTGCAGATAGTAATAATAAAACAGATCTTGAATTTCCGTTTCTGAAAGCTGAGTCTCTTCCACTGTGTTCCACCTTGGTTTTGCCTTCTGTCCTTTAGCATAAGATGCTTTCATAAGTATCTGTTTTGCAGGGAACCTGGAGTGGTTGGATAAGAACAAGTCTAGCTTCCTGATCATGTGGCGAAGGCCAGAAGAATGGGGGAAACTCATCTATCAGTGGGTGAGACTATTCTGCCACGGTGACCCATGGCAGAGAATCGTATCTACGTTCAGCAGATACCTGGTGTTCCCAGGTCTAGACTGAGCAAAGTGGGAAGGGGCAAAAAGAGGAAGTATACGTCTTCCAGGCAAGCCTCTTTCAGTGACTCAGTTTCCCTGGCTGTATAGAACTTCCCTGCCTTTGACTGTAGGAGGCGAGAGGCTACATGAGGCCATGAGGCCATGTTTGGAGAATGCAGTGCTGGGAACCATGAGTACTATTGTTGGCCGGATTCTCTGGCCACAGAAGATAAATGAGGAAAGGAAGGAGGAAAAAAAAAGCCTGGGGCCCCTCCCCCTGTGCACCCTTTGGGGTTGTCTGCCATATGAATGAAACATTCTGAACTGGTGTGGGTGTGGGGACAAACTCTCTGCACCACAAGCCCTAAACTTTCCCAGGGGAGAGAAGAGGGGAAGAAGCATCAACAACCCAAATATAACAAACTCATGCCACCTATTCCTGAACAGGAAAACAGAATGAGAGATCACTACTCAGACATGTGAAGGCTTGTGGTTTAGTGGTTCCGTGCATGTGTGTACACGTATAAATATAGCACCTGTGGGGTTTGCGGTGTTTAGGCCACTCCTGCCAGGGTGACAGTGAGCCTGGGTTTGGGAATAGGTGCCATTCCTGGGTCAGATAGGTGGAGCTGGTGAGCTCACCTTCTCCCAGGAGATTTCCGGTCCTTATTCAATCCCTGTTTTCTGTGTCCATAGGTTTCCAGGAGTGGCCAGAACAACTCCGTGTTCACCCTATATGAACTGACCAATGGGGACGACACAGAGGATGAGGGTAATGCTTCTCCCTTTCCCCCCAGTTTTGTCATCTGAATCCTCTCCAGTCTTTGTTTGACAGTCAGACTTCCCATCCCTGCCTCTGAATTCCAAATACATGATACAAGGCCTCTTAACCCATGTCCAAGGTTTCCCTAAACCACCTGAATTTATATCCAAAATACTCCCAAGTTTTGTATGTGGGGATGTATGTGCATTTTTCTAGGGATAGAGTCTATATTAAAAGATTTTCAGGGGTATCTGTGACCCATGAAAAGTTAAGAATTACTGGTGTAGATGCCAAATGAGGAACTGGGGCGGGAGATTAAGCCGAAAATCTCATTCCTTGCTGACACAGGCCTTTCTTTCACCCTTTATACTTATAGAGGGCTCAAGATTTGTGGGCATCAGCTGAAGGGTTTGGGCCTACACCCCCACCCCCACCCCCAGGCCTTTTAAATACTTTGGTTTCGGGCCAGGCAAGGATTTGTATACTGTTTCATTTTTTACATAGTATAAATATATTCTTAGCTCTTTTATCTCTGGCTTCATATTCTGATCCCCAGGACCACCAAAAGTTCCAGTCTCAGCTGGGGAAAAAAGGGCATCTCCCCTTTCTGCCAGGCCCTGGCTGCCATAACAAAGTTTAGAGCTCTTGGCTGTTACCCCCCTGCCCTGCAGGCCTCTGCTTGCTACTCCCACCATCACCCCATGACTTCAGTGCTGCAGCCTTGCCCAGCCACCACTCATGCTGGGCAAAGCTGGAGGCTTCCTCAGAAAGCAAGCTCCCTGACTCAAGAGGTAGGCCCCCGTAGGGGGTGAGGTGTGTGAACCTGTTAGGGCTTGCCACCTGCTTCTCACCTCTCCCTGCAGTATCTTGCCATATCTCCAGATACTCAGCTGGCCCTTGGCTCCCAGCCTTGTTCCTTTTAACTAGGAAAGGGCAGATACCCATGCTGGACTTTTAACAGTCTCCTGGTCAGAGGTATGGCTACACTTCTTTGTGTTAGGACAGGTGCTCCTGATAGGAACCAGTGTGAAACTAGGGTCAGAATCCAGTGACAAGGACCTTGACCTTCCTAGGCTTCACTGTTCCCCACTCTGTGGCCCACAAGCAGGTGGTGTCATTCTTGTACATCAGACACTCATGGCATGGGGGTGGGGGATACATGTGAGGGTTGAGTCTGACAGAATAACCTGGAAGGGGAGAATAAGCATGAACTCTCATTTCATGCTGACTCAGGCTTTCTTTCACCCCTTACTCTAAGGAGTTCCTAGGAAGGGTTGATGGCAGCTGCAGCAGTATAGATGGCACATGTCTCCCCTAGCCTCCAGGTCTCAGCTTCCAGCTAGACTCTTCTCCTCAGGGGCCTTGAGCCCCCAGAAGCTGAGTGTCCCTGACTCCCCATCTCTCCCTATCCAGAGTTCCATGGGCTGGATGAAGCAACCCTGCTTCGGGCTCTGCAGGCTCTACAGCAGGAGCACAAGGCTGAGATCATCACTGTCAGCGAAGGCCGAGGTGTCAAGTTCTTCTAGCAGAGACCTGTCTCCATTGACTTCTTACCTCCCACCCTTCTAGGGCTTTCAAAGGGAGACAGACCCACAGACTGGATCTGTGACTCCACCAGACTCAAAAGGGCTCCAGTCCAGGGATGAGGTTTCCCACTTACTCCGTGTGTATGTCTCTGGGGACGGGTGAGGCTGAGGCGCCAGGGGGAAAAGATGTGCTTCTCTTTGCCCTACCTCTTCTCCCATCCTAGACTGTCCCTGAGCCAGGGTCTGTAAACCTTTAACTCCACATGTGTCCACACACGTTAAGTACATACACACGCACGCCTGCACAAGCTTCTGTCTCTCCCCCTTCCCACCCCCTTAGCTGCTATTGCCTCCCCTCTCAGGCTGGTGCTGGATCCTTCCTAGGGGATGGGAGAAGCCCTGGCTGCAGGCAGCCTTCCAGGCAATGTGAAGACAGGAGGCCCAGGAAGGGGCCTGGCAGTGAGAGGCCAGGCTGGACACTGATTTATGATATTAAAAAGCTCAACCCCACTTGCCTGCCTGCCATTGGAAGTTACTACTGGAATGGGCATGGGGAGAGCTGCGAAGCGTTGCCCCCTGAGTGAATACCAGCCTAGGAGAGGGGAGAGGCCTTTGGCCTTTGTAAATGAAAAGGTCCTCCAGTGCTGGCAGGCTCCAGTGAGTCTGTGGTTTTACATCTGCTGGGTGGGCTGTGTGGGGGAGTGCTGATGGAACACAGCTTGGGGACAGACTTTCTTTCTCTGAATTGGAGCAACTTAATGGCTTCCCCTTCCCTCACCATCTCCCCCCATGAAAGTCCTGAACCACTCTGAAGCCTCTCCCTCTGTCCTTCTGGTCTGGGTGGGGTAGTTGAGGCCAAGGGGAGCTGAAGGGGTGAAAACCGGACATGGACTTTGGTTTATTGGGAACTTTGGCAAACAGAAGGAGGAAGGAGAGCCCACATAGCAAAAACAGCTACTGCGGCCAGGGCCAGGCTGCGGCCAAGGTAGGGAGGTGGAGGGTATGGGTGACCGGGTCCTTGGCTTGGGGGAGGGTCTTGCCCTGGGGTGCGCACACCCATCCCTGTACAGCCCAGAGGGACAGCGGCTTGGGAGAAAACTAGACCTTTCCACTGTTTCGTCGACCTGGAGCTGCCCCGGGCAAACAGGAGGGGGTGGCGCTACTTTATCTGGGGCGTGCAGGCCGGTGGTAACCTTCCCTTGTGCCACCCCCCTTTCTAGGGCCCGAGAGCCGCGGTCACGTTTCCTCTCCCAGTCCCAGCATCGTGCCTCCCTCACCCCCTGCCCCCCACCCCCAAACAGGTTTGCGCCCTAGTGCGGGAGGACACACCGTCTCGTACCGGTCCGCCTCGGAATGAGCCTGCAGGCGGGTGCGCCTGGAAGCGAGGGAGGGGAGGGCCTGCGGCCGGGGGCGGGGCGGCTGAGGTGAGGGGCTGCGCACCCGTCTCCGCGCGCGCGCGGCTGGCCGCTCCAAGGGGGCGGCCCTGGGGGGGGGGGAGGTGAGGCCGGGGGGCGGGGCCGGGGCGGGGCTGCGGGGAGGGCGAGCCGGGGACTGGGGGCCCCAGGAGCTCAGCCAGAGCGCTGCGCACCCAGCCCGTCCGCCTGTCAGGCCGCCGCCTCTCCAGCCGCCCGGCTTACTGCCTTGCAGCGCCGGCCCTTCCTCATGCTGGCACCCCCGACCCCCGAGACTGCGGTCCCCATGTCCCAGGCGGAGGCCGACCTGGCCCTACGGCCCCCGCCGCCTCTCACCGCCGCCGCCGGTCCACCCCGCCTTGGGCCCCTTCCTCGCCGGGCGCGCCGCTTCTCCGGGAAGGCTGAGCCCCGGCCGCGCTCTTCCCGTGTCAGCCGCCGCAGCTCAGTCGACTTGGGGCTGCTGAGCTCTTGGTGCCAGCCAGCCTCACCCGTTCCGGAGCCCCCTGATCCTCCGGACTCCGCTGGTCCTGGCCCCGCAAGGAGCCCACCGCCTAGCTGTCCAGAGACCCCCGAGGGCACGTGGACCGGGGGAGACCCCGTGAAGGCTGCGGACTGCGCGCGTCCAGAGCTCGCGGGCTCTGCAGGAGGCCGGGGGTCCCGGGATCCGCCGACAGTCCCCGAAGCCGCGGCTCGGGAGCGGCAGCGGGAGCAGGAGGAAAGGGAGGATACGGAGACCCAGGCAGTGGCAACGTCCCCGGACGGCCGATACCTCAAATTTGACATCGAGATTGGACGTGGCTCGTTCAAGACGGTGTATCGAGGGCTGGACACTGACACCACGGTGGAGGTGGCCTGGTGTGAGCTGCAGGTGCGGCTGGGCGCCCTTCTGTGGCACCTCGGGATGGGACCCTTTGGAGGTCTTGGGATGAGAAATCTGGGGGACGGCAGCAAGGGAGAGATCCATCTTTCCAGTCAAATGTCCAGACACTCCTGCCCACTCCCCTTTGCTCTGATGATCAATGGATCTGGCTGATTCTGGGCTGCAGAAGGATAAACTGAGGCAGAGGGTGTGTGGTGGCTTCCTTATGGGTTTTGGACATTTTTTAAAAGAGATTTTATTTATTTATTTATTTGACAGAGAGACAGCGAGAGAGGGAACACAAGCAGGGGGAGTGGGAGAGGGAGAAGCAGGCTTCCAGCAGAGCAGGGAGCTCGATACGGGGCTCGATCCCAGGACTCTGGGATCATGACTTGAGCCAAAGGCAGATGCTTAACGACTGAGCCACCCAGGTGCCCCGAGTTTTGGACATTCTAACTTTAAAGTCTCTATACTCAACCCTGAGAGTTGGAAGATATGATGCAAAATAGGGTAGGGAGCCAGTTCAGATCTGAGGGGTGACTGGCCTCACCAATCTCCTGCAGTGGTTACTATCTCTTCCTTTTCCTTTCCTCTTAGTCTTGAGATCCTCAGTATGACTCTGGTTCTCCTCCTCCTTCACCCTGAATCTTTGCCAAGTAGGAGGCTGGGATGATGGAGGCCAGGAGCTGGGGCAGGATCCTCTCCACTTCCAGAAGATTTAGAGCGGTGGTAGCAGGATGGGGCCCTCCCAGACTCCTTCTGGAGCAATCAGACTTCTAGACTTCTCCATAGCTGGGGAAGGGGGAGACAGACAGCTCCAGCCCTGGCCTGAGTCCACTCCTGCTCCTCATCCCACTGTCTACCTGGGCTCTCCCTTCCCAGACCCAAAGGCACTGAACCCATCAGGCTTTAGGGGGATGTTGGTGTGAAGGACCTTCTTTCCACGGAGGGAAGACCCAGTTAAGTCTGGACCAGCAGCTTTGGATTTAACTGGGGGGCAGATCTGGGGAAGGGTCCTCCCCTCCAGCTCTGGCACCGGGCTCACCCCTTGCGCCTGCCAGTGCCGAGCCCCAGGCTCTAGGCCAGGCGTGAAGAGGTGGCCAAATTGGTGGTGGTGGGGGGGGGGGGGATGAGAAGGGGGCGGGACAGCCATGGGGCAGGGGGCGGTCTCCTGGCGCCTGGTCTTGGATCTTTCTCTGTAACTCCCTCTGCAGCCCTCCTGCCTCCAGTCTGGATCTAGCAGTTCCCAGTTTCTGGGGCCAACCCCCTTGAAGGCCCCAATTCTCTGCCCACGGTCAGCCTGCTGCCCGCCTGCTGCCTGCCCACTGCCAGCCCTGGGGCGTCCCCTCCCGCCCCATGGCTGGCCCGGGAGGCCACAAAGGCGCTATTGAGCTCAGGGCTCCTGGACTGGGCTGCATAAAGGCCCTTGTGTCCAGCGGAGGGTCCAGGGGTGGCCCAGGCCCAGGATGGGCGTGTCCTTTAGCAGCCTGAGGGGGCGGATCGAGAATTCGAGGTATACAGCCCATTGGGCAAATGATGACCTAGACTCCTCCTTGGGCTCTAACCCTCACCTCTCCCCCAGCCCCTCCCCATGTGCCCCTTCCTCCTCTCCGTGGCAGTCCTGGGCCTGTCGTGAAATTGACCCCCGTCCCCTACCCCACAGACTAGGAAACTGTCTCGAGCCGAGCGGCAGCGATTCTCTGAGGAAGTGGAGATGCTCAAGGGGCTGCAGCACCCCAACATCGTCCGCTTCTACGACTCGTGGAAGTCAGTGCTGAGGGGCCAGGTTTGCATCGTGCTGGTGACCGAACTCATGACCTCCGGCACCCTGAAGACGTGAGCTCTGTGCCTGGTGCTAGTGTTGGTTGGTGGGAGAGCTGGTGGTGGGAGGTCCCCACTGCTTCTGGAACTTCTCCCAGGCTCCTCAAACTCTAGATTTTGGTCCAAAACCAGGCTTGCTACCTCTCACCCGTCCCTACTTCATCCCTGCCTTACTGAATGGCAGTGTCCACCCAGCACGCCAGCCAAAACCTGATCTCCCCAGATGCCATCTTTATCTCCATTCTGTGCATCCGCCTTCCCCCATCAGTCTGTCTTCAAGGCCTCCTTATAATTCCCCACTCTGCCTTCCCAGTTCCATCCACTGCCACCTCACTGGTCTGGAGCCCTGCAGCAGCGCCCTCTCGGGCCTTCCCCCCCTCTGCCCTCACCTTTCCAATCTATCCTATCTTCCTGGGGTCTGGGGAATCAATCCATTCCTTAAAACCCCTTCAAGGCTTCCCACCATCCTCAGGTTAAAGCCTCTGACACACTCTCTAACGTACTCACAGAGTCCTTAGGACTTAGCCTTAATCTTGAACCTAGATTCCACAGGAACCGAATTCCCAGCACCTCCTCCCACCCTGCCCTGTCGCTGTCTCCGTGCCTTTCAGCACAGTGTCCCCTCCGCCTGGAAAGTCTCCATCCCTTCCCTTTTCACCCTTGAACCCCTACTCATTCTTCAGGAGGCAACATAAAAGTTATTTCCTCTCTGAAGCCCTCCCCCACGCCCAGGGCGGTTAGTCATCCCTTCTCGCACTCCCCAGCCCCGTTGGCGCAGCTCTATCTGCAAGTTTACCGCCGGACCCGTTTTGTACTCTCACGGCTAGCTCCCACACCCCCGACTCAGTTTCTCCCTGGAGCACGGCGAGGAGCTGAGCTAGAATAATGCTGGCAGAAGATGTGTAGGCGGTGGTACCAGTGGGACCAGGGGAACTTCCCAGCGGGGGTCCCCTCCCCCGCCTCCGTGTCCCCACCGCGACCCTGGCTACATGCCTTTCCCCCAGATACCTGAGGCGGTTCCGCGAGATGAAGCCGCGAGTCCTTCAGCGCTGGAGCCGCCAGATCCTTCGCGGGCTTCATTTCCTACACTCCCGGGTACCCCCCATTCTGCACCGGGATCTCAAGTGCGACAACGTCTTTATCACGGGCCCTTCAGGTTCGGTCAAGATCGGCGACCTGGGCCTGGCCACGCTCAAGCGCGCCTCCTTTGCCAAGAGTGTGATCGGTTAGTCCCTCCAGGATCCTTGCTATCCTCCCCCCCCACCCGCGTCAGAAGAGAGCCTGGGGGCCCTCTCTTTCCAGCAGTGCCCTTTGAGTTGCACGGAGTTAGAAGAGCATGGGGAGCATGGGGAGACCTATAGCATCCTCTCCACCGCCCCCCAACACACACACAGTGGGGAAGTGTCCGCCACTATCACTTCAGAACTCTCCAGGTTGCCGCCTCCCTGCACCCCCTGGCTAGCTGGTGGTACGCCCAAGAGGAGGGGCGAAGCCAGAGGAAGGCTCTGTAGCCTGATGCCTGCTGTGGATCCTACAGGGACCCCGGAGTTCATGGCCCCTGAGATGTACGAGGAAAAGTACGACGAGGCCGTGGACGTGTACGCGTTTGGCATGTGCATGCTGGAGATGGCCACCTCGGAGTACCCTTACTCCGAGTGCCAGAATGCTGCGCAAATCTACCGCAAGGTCACTTCGGTGAGAGGGGGTGGGGAGGAC